CAGCGAGGGCAGGCGGGGGAGAGCCCCGGGGGGGGTCGAGTCCTTCTGGGCTGTCTCTGAAACCCCCAGCTGCTTCTCTGCCCCGAGCGCTCGTGTGACGCTCAGCCCCTCGCGTGGCGCCTTCCAGCGATGAGATGGAGCTTTACGATGCTCACTTTACCCTGCATTTATTGCATGTCTTCGCAGTTTATCTGGCCACACCCGGCCACAAATATTTGTTCCTTCTATTTTATGTTGCTGTGCGAAGTTATCAGGAAACAAATATATATGTATACGCACACACACACACACGTGCGCACGCTAATGTGACCCTGAAACATGGAAGTTCCAGTATATTAAGTGCTTGACACAAACAAGTGGTGCCTTCAGCCGTGTCTCCGGGCTGCTTCTAGGAGGCCTTCTAACACCGGCCGTGACAGCGCTTCAGGAGGAGAGCGAGGCCCAAGGAGCGGCGAGCTGACAGGTGAGGGCTCTGCTCTCTGCAGGCTTCAGGTGTGTTTGTGAATTTCCATGTTCTGGTTCAGTGAGTTGTCTCCATTGCTTCATTCCAGCCTCATTAAGGACAAGATTACTGCTTACAACTGCACTTTGTGGTACTACCCTTAAGGCCCAGTAACCTAGTTCTAGCTGCAGAGGTTTGTTTTTGTCTGTTTTGTTCAGTTTCTTCTTCCTTTTTTTTTTCTTTTTTTCTTTTTTCATTTATCAATTTTAGCTATGTTTTCTCACATAAGAGCTATCAGGGCAAACATACTTCCAAATCTGGTTCTTAAAAGTACATTTTACATGAGAAACAGTTCCTGTATAAAAATTTCATTGTAAATATTACCTTAAAAATGCAAGTGTGTAATCATTCTGGGGAAATACTTGCAGCTCAGATATTCTAAGATAATTAACATAAGCCCCCAGAATGTGCAATGAAAGCTGCCTTTTGAAAATCTCTTTTCAATAAACTATAGGATGATAAGGTAATAGCAGTATTAAAATACATAAGGAAATGTGGTTTTAGAAAAAGATTTGGGGAGGTGCTCAGTGTACATCTGCATTTCCCCTTTGAAATTCCTAAGCAAGCCCTACAGCTGATCTTTCATTCTCATTTCATATATAAAATATCACTAACATAAAGAACTCCTGAGAAACTCACCTAAGCTGCTTAATGGAGGGGCCATTCCTCTTCAGCAACAACAGCAACTTACCGAATTTCAGTTTGACGGCGTCAGAATCAGTCCTGTTGTCTTGATCTAGGGATAATACATACTATTTTTTAAAAACGAGAATATAGGAGGTACATTTTTTATTATTGTTTCTGTGTTCACTTAAGGATTAGGTCTATAAGAGAACTAGGTCTTGTCCTTAGCGGTCATTTTTATTCTTTTATTTTTAGCAATATTTGAGCAACAACAACAAAAAATCTCAGTTAAGAGCAGACCTGACTACACCTGCTTTGGTGACGGTGATCCTCTGCAGGTGTTTTAGTATTCTATAAGCTAAGTTTCAGAAGGAATTTTCTGCCTTAGTATAGACACTCAGAGCACTGCAGATCTTTATCAGCTCTCCTGAGCAGAGCATTTGGGAGGACACTGCGCAAAGGCAGTTAGGTGGGAGGCACACCACACACACGTTTTGACACGAATGAAACCTCAGGGTCAAATATATCAACTAATACAGTGCCCTTTCTTGCTCTGCTGGTCTGTAAAGACCAATTAAGTAAATTTGACCTAATTTCCAACCAAATGATTCAGCATTCATTCAGTTTGATTTTATGTCAAGAAGATTCATGTCTAATCTAACATCTTGTAATTAATCCTGCTGCACTTTCTCCACCGACATTACCAGGATATCCCTTATTCACTGAATACGGCTTATGCTTTTTAACTGCATTTTAGGCAGAGAAAAATAAATAAATAAATACATACATACATACATAAAAGCCACAAGGACTTGGGGCCTGCTTTGTTTTCTTTCTTAGTAGCAAAACCAGGTTAGATGGCTGCAGAACAATGTTCTTGTTTAAAAAATACATACAAATAGGAAGGTGTCACAGGCTAAGGCCATTGTTGACTGTTTAGGGAAGGAGAACTGGAACACTGTCTTCAGAACAGCATCTAATTTTGATTAAAAATAAACAATCAGGAAGAGTGCATGAAATAATTACAAATTGTTTCCATGGTCAGTCATCTTTCTCTTAAAAATATGATTTGATTTGCAGTACCGATTTTCTAGTTTCTACCTTCTCTCCACTGGATCTTCTTTTATCTTTGACTGATAAATTGAAAATCCTTTTGTTATCAGATTTCTGACAAAAACATCACTTCCACGCAGGAGGGCCAAGCTGTTTGCCTGCTTTAAGGCAAACGTGCTGCCTTGGTTTGAAAGTCTCAGTTCTGTCCAGCTGTCTAGGAGTCTGTTTCTATTAGTGCAACATACACTACTTAACCTTTCAGTGTCACTTAGCTTCTTTAACAGGCAGAGTCTCCTGAGCTTTCCCTGAAACTGGAGTTCAGTGAGAAATGGAAAATGCTGTGGGAAGAGAAACAAGGTCTTTCCTCCTGAACTTACAGTGAGTTTTCTGTCTCAGCCTTCCCTGTGGGTTTGGAAAGCTGAATCTCGCTTTTCTAACTAACCAGTTTTCCACCCTGTCTTCACATCTCTGTTAGTCATTGCTTCTCACGATAGATCCCTAAGCCACAGCTGCCTCCGTGCATTTCAAAATGCAAGCTGCAAAATGCTTGCCAGGAGAAGTATTCAATATGATTCCGGATCAATATATGTTCTTCATTATCTGCAGCTCTTCTGGTCTTAAAAACTAAATGAATGCTTTAAGGACTTAGTGCAAGAACCCAACTTTGTCAAAATTCAGAGTAGTGTCACATAGGCCATATTCAGCTCAACTCAGCATAAGCAGCTGCTCACTTCGAGAGCTCCTGTGCAGGGCACTTCAGGCTGTGTGGGAAGTTTGCATTTCGTCTTGCTCTTTATTGTTTCATTTTATTACATAACTCCACGCCATGGCTTTTGTCCTGTGGCTGGCATTATTTTCATAATCCAGTTTATGAAAGTGACATTGGGCATGTAATGAGCTTGCACCTACTGATGTCCCTGCTCTGGGCTGAATCTTTGTAAACATCCCCCTCAGATTTATGACTATATTCTGGCCGCTCATTTCAGTAACGGGATCCACAGATTAATAGACGTTTCAGATAGATTATTGTTTGTATCACCACTGTATTTAATAGATTCATTCTGATAGCTATTTTGTAATGGGAACTGGGAAGGGATTATTAGGTAGATGTGTCCTCCCTTTGCAGCCAGTTCAGACTGTGCACCAGTTTCCTCCCTCTTTCATTCAGCAGGGTGTTATTTTCCTTGTTACGGCAAGGCCAGGACTTGGCGGTGCCCCGGAGAGAGGTGGAAAACAAGCATGAGGGACAGCAGCATGCCTTGCTGCAGTGCTTTTTCTCCACCCCATGGGTAATTACAGAATAGAAGTGTTTCCTTTGCTACCCGCCTCAAAATAATTTGTTATCTGGTTCAGTCACATATAAACTGAAAATCATTTATTAAATTGATAATAGCATTACCCGGCCCAGTTTTTCTTATGTTTTCTTATATCAGTTAAGTATTTGGCCGCCTTCTACAGTCTGACAGCTTCAGCCTTTAGCCCAATATCTTGACTGTTGCCTCTTTCTGCTCTTTAGCTCTTTCTGATCTCTATGAAGAACAAGCATAGGAATTACCCCCCTCACCTAGCTGCCATTAATAGCATTCATAGAATCACAGAATGCTTAAGGTTGGAAGGGACCTCTCGAGGTCACCTAGTCCAACCCCCCTGCACACGCAGGGTCACCTAGAGCACGTGGCACAGGACTGCGTCCAAGCGGGTTTGGAAGGTCTCCAGAGAAGGAGACTCCACAACCTCTCTGGGCAGCCTGTTCCAGGGCTCTGTCACCCTCACTGCTAATACATTTTTCCTTAAGTTCCTGTGGAACTTTTGGTGCTTCAGTTTGTGACCATTATCTCTAGTTCTGTCGGTGGCCACCAGTGAGAAGAGGCCAGTACCATCCTCCTCACTGCCTCCCTTGAGATACTTACAAACACTGATTAGATCCCCTCTCAGCCTTCTCTTCTCCAGGCTGAATAGGCCCAGCTTGCATTACATAACTGAAGTACCTCACTGGTTCTGCTTCTTCCATCGCAACACAAATAATCTGTTTTCTTTTTTACTTCAAAACCTTCAGTTATTCCACAGCCACTACATGTCTTACCCAGTTTGTTTTTGCATCTCCTGTCAACTGTTCTTGGCAGTAACATCAACTTTAGTGCCTGTTCCTTTCTTTCATAATACTTTCCTAATCTTTTCCCATGCTAACACCTCTCCTACACACAGGTTTCATCAGTTCATTTGATATCCGTATTACATCAATAGCCATTAATAGCACTCAGCAAGACCAAACTGATTTTGATTTAGTCATTTTGATAAACATTCCCTTCAGTTAAGAAATTATGTGACCTTTCAGCATTTTATCTTGGCTTACTGTGTGTTTTTGTGGTTTTGTTTTGGTTAGTAAAAGGACAGAATGTGCAGTGAGAGAAGGAGTTCCAGCTGGAGGGATGAGCATGGTCACCATGCAGAGCTGCAGAAACCAGGTGTGTTTCCATGAGTGATTCCTTATACCTTAGCACAGGTCACAACTAGAAGACTTTGCAGACCATGTATATATTTACAACAGGGTGACCTTTTATTGTTGTGCAGTTTGTTTAAATAAGACCTAGCCTATAGAGACTTGTTTTCTGCATCCCATAAATACTTCAGTTAATAACAAACAGATGGCAGAAATATGCGTCTTCTATAAAAACAGCCCATGTTGAATAGAGAAATCACTGAAGAAGTTCTCTGCTGGTGAAATTAATGGAGCTGCAGACATGCAAATCAGCAGAGAACACAGGCACTAATTCAGATTTTTAAGGCCAAGACTTTTCTAAAAACCCACATTGCCAGCCTGTGTTCGAGCCATGGCCAATTTTGTTCTAAAAGCCAAAATGACAGCTAACTCCTGAGTGGTCCGGAATGGTTAAATAATTCTTTCTGACCTCACTGAACAAAACTTACACATAATCTCTTTATGAGCATGAATCACCATTATTCTCCGAATCACAGATGTCCCAGGCAGATTTTCACTTCATTTTTCTCTTCACAGCAAATATTTCACGTAGCACTGTACCTATGAACTCATTTTGTGCTTGCTCAAGCACTTAAGTGGAAGCAAGCCCTGAGACTTAATGAAAGCTGAGCTGTCAGACTAGATCTGAACAGATGTGACTTTCTTGGTGCCTGCAGTAAAATGTTTTCCGCAATATACAAATGGAAACCTGAAAACTCTTCCAGTGTATTCTATTAAATTCTAAACATTAAAAAATACAAGCAGTGTTTATAAAAGCGCATGCAACAAGTTTTTCTTACTTTGAGGAAGAATGAAAGAGATTAAGATTTAATTCTGCAATGTAAAATATGATAAACAACGGTAGGTGTTCATTAGTAGATGTATGGGGAAATATTGCAGAAAGCTGCAGGCACAGCCTAAAGATTCTGCATATCAACAGAAAGTTGCAAAACAACATTTTAGCCTTCCCAGAGAAGCTAGCAGTAGTTCTGGATAACCCAGACCGCATGATAATGATAAAGATGAAAAAAAGCTATGCATGTAGCAATACTCAATTAGAGCCATTCAAAAATCCTTTCATCCGGAACAGTGTTCACTTGACCTCTGCCTTGTTGGTTACATCATTTCTGCCTTCAGTTCATAAAAAGAAGAAGCAGAAGGAATACAACATTTCCAAAAAGAAAAAAAAAAAGAGAGAGAGAGAGAATTAATTCCAGGATCTTCTATAACAAAGCTACCCAGGAACTTAATTTCTACTCCAATTATGTTTTCCTCCTTGTCAAAATCAGGTTTTCAGCATGCTATTAATAACGGCATTTGGTTTTTAAGCTGCAGTCATGGTAGGCCATGACTACATCTTGCACATAATTGATCTCCAGTGACTTTGATGAATGTGATTAAAAAAAATACTGTGAAGGATGGACTAATGAATCATACTGAGATCAGTATTTTGTCTGCAGGGCTGAACTTGCATGATTTAAAATGGAACCACACTGGAATCATGAGCAGTTCTTTGTGAATAACATGATCAATGAAATAGCAAGGAAGTCTTGGCAAGACTATCTAATACAAAGAATCCTCCTCTTGTCACATATTTCATCAGATGCAAAAAAACCCTTTGAGCAGGTTATTCTTTAAAGGCTTCCTCCCATCCTACTGCTAACTTAAAATCTGATTTCTAAGTACTAACAGTACTCATTTGTTTAAAATGGATATGAATGATGAGAATCTTCTCATTTTGATTACACAACATGCCGTTATTTACTGCTTTCTGTGTGGGACAGTTTCAAACATCTGTTTCTCCTCATCTGCTAGGCTATCCATTATACCTGTATTTTCTACTGTCATTTATAATGGACTGATAAAAAGCTCAATGAAATTCACAGCATCATCTTCCCCTCTTGCCTCATCGCAAACCTTCTCTTGCCTCCAGTAGGAATATGAAGAATTGCATTCAGCTGTTCATTTAATGGTACAGCACAAAGGATAAAAGGCATATAATGCAGCAAGGGAAATTTCAATTAGATATTAGGGGGAAAACCACAAAGACAGTGGAAGAACACTAGTTCAGACTGTCCAGAGAAGCTACAGAATGTTTATATTCGGAGAGACTAGAAACTTGTCAAGCCCTGGAGCAACCTAACCTAACTAACTAATCTAACTTCAAAGCTAGCCTTGCTTTAAGCAGATTCTCAGAATAGCTGACCTTCAGAAGTCTCTTCCAGGTTAAATTATCCTATAATTTTACATAATCTAAATAAATTGGCTGGTGATGACTTTATGGTGGAGTCCACATATTTGTGTAGGATGTGGGTGGGAGTGAAATGTTTATTACGACATGGCAGAAGCTCTTGATGTAACAGCTTGTGACCTCTCCCCATCAACCACAAACCAAAATTTTTCAGTGTGGCTGTGAAGACCTGTTAGAAGAGAGAAGTGACCACGTCTCTTACCCAACTTAAAATAACTAACTAAATAAAATGGCTCTGCAAAGTTTCTAGGAAAGATGTTCTGTTCTGTGCCAAATCAGCTGAAATGTAATGTTTCCCCCCACATGCTAAGAAATCCCAAGCAGGCTGTTAGAGAACAGCTGCTGATGAACTTCAGAGAAAGAAAACAGACCTTCCTGCACTACCCAGGTGCACACATGTCTTCTCTATGAACCACCCTGCCATACTGCTAAAGCCTCTCAAGATGAGAAGGCTTTGTGAGAAGAAGCAGGGTGATGCACTCTGCTGTGATGCTCAAACCCCACTTGGATTACTCTTTGTTTCCATCAGATTGCAGCTCTAACGGTGTGGGAAACTATCCTGTTTATTATAAAGTCCCTGTCAAGTGCATGGCAGGACAGCATAGCTTGGCTGCACTCACCTGCACACATGGACTACGATTGCCAGATTTTCTGAACTGCCAGTTCTTTTCACGATGGGACTCCAAAAAGTAATGCAGGTCCACTTAGGAGGTAAACTATGCCTTGGAAAGGAAAGGTTGGGCTCTACTAGCTCAGGGTATATATATCAAGCTGAAGAAAATCCGGTGTAAGAACACGTTGCTGCACAAGGTCTCAGGTTTCTTGGACACAGGCTGTTCCACACCAGAATACACAACTCCCAGCAACATGAGGAGGTAGCAGGGAGAAAGGGAGAGAGGAGCAGTGTCACTGCTGCAGAGTTACTCTGAAACTTTGTCTTAAAGAAAGTCCCTATCTTGGCTGACATTCTGCGCTAGTACCTCAGTTTTCTCTGCCTATTATAACATGGAGTTTCTAAGGCTCACAGCTTAGGTCATGTGGGTATAGTAATTGTGCTACCATTCCCATGTGAATTTCTCCTTTTGGTTAAAAGTGGCCCCAGTTTTTGCTCCTGGCCACTTTTTCCTTTCCTCTGCTTTGTGAAAGTTCACAATTCCTGAGGAACTATCCCAATGTTTTTTTTCCCAGCTGGATCAGTTCTCCAGTCTAGTTCACTGCAGCTCACATGGAAATAGGGAAGTAAAAAAGGGAAGAAAGCAACTTTCCTGGCAGTACACATTTAAACACACATCAGAAAATGTCCTCTAGTTTTGCTTCACCGTTTCCTTAACTCCTCAACTCCTACCAAACTATCCTGAAGAATCATTCCAGAGAAAGAAAATCTAAATGTCTTATCACTATCTATACAGACTTTTTAGCTTACTGTTTCTAAAAGTATGACAAAACCAAAAAAGTAGCCCATGGAATGGTCAGCAGCTGTCTCAACCCAAAAATATTTCTCACAAAATGGAATAATGCTGATTTTAATCGTCAGGAATTTACCACACCAACAGCTAGGTGTTGTCGTGCTTCTGAATGGCACAAGGTACACTGACAGAGTTGGTAACTAGCTCTGCTTTAAGAATCTGCATTGTATGTTTCTAATCCAACCCACAATGCAGCTGGCAGGAAGTAAAGAAATCAGATGGCATGCTGTTCAGTTTTACTTAGGGGCCTGTATTGCTCAGACTTACGCATTTTTTTTCATGAAAAGCCAAAGCTAAACTTAACTTTATACATAGCTTATTTGATTCGTATTGCGTGAGTGGCTACAGTAGCCCCTTATTTTTCCCTTGCATACAAACTCATCATATTCCATTTTGTGGGAAATGAACAAGCCTATGCTTTTCATTCTGTCCATTCATTATCCACTCAGAAGATAAAACAAAAATCTTCATCCATATCATAGTTACGTGAATCAGTAGAACCATCAGTACAGTCATGTTCTGCAAAAGAACATGAAAGCCATGCAGATTACTGATCAGTTCATAAGATAAGCACACTAGCATGTAAATATATATAAATAACAACAAGCTACTTCAACAAAACACCACACCAAACTATTACCATAACAGGCTGTAGGCACGGCGTGGTTAGTGCAAAGCCTTCGGAAACACACAATCATTTACCACAAGTTAGCAGTGAAAACATGGCCAGATCCAGCAGAGCATATCACAGAATCACAGAATGATTGAGTTGGAAGGGACCTCTAGAGTTCACCTAGTCCAACCCACCCTGCTCCAGCAGGGACACCCAGAGCACGGGGCACAGGGTGGCATCCAGGTGGGTTTGCAAGATCTCCAGAGAAGGAGACTCCAAAACCTCCCTCTGCTGCTTGGTCCAGTCCAGCAATAAAAAACATAAGTACATGTAGAATTGAAGGCCCTGAAAAGAAACAAACAAAGCAAATCACACAACCAGGGCACTGCCGTAGAATAGTGGAAGGTTGTAGCCATATACGTTCAGCCCTAGCATCCAGTATGGACAAGCTTTCTAACATTTCTGTGGCTGCTCTGTGATGCTCCTACACAGACAACATCTGGACAGCAGAAAGAAGTCACAAATAAGTTCCACATGTGAACAAACATTGGAAGCCACTGCCAAAAAATACCAGGGAGGTTCAGATCTGCTGACGCTTCTGAAAACTTTCCAGTTGGCGAAACGCTTGAACTGAATAAAACCGAGGACAGCAGTCCAAGTCTAGTACCAGCACAGAGCATATACATGAGTAAATCTGCCTTCTTCCTCTCCTTCCCTCCGCCCATCCCTGATTTTGCTTTCTCCGATTTCTAGTCAGTATATAACTTCTTTTTTTTCTGAGTGGAGGTGGAGCCAAATGACTTTTTCAGGGGGGAGAAATTTTCTTATAAAATCCAGTAGCATAAGTATCGCGAATAAGACATTGATTTCCTCAGCTATGCCTACAATGAACCACGAGTAGGGTGACCTGGTGGTTTGCAGCACAGCTCAAGAACTTACCTACAACTGAGAGGTAAATGAAGAGCTTCAGACCCCCATGCAAACCTGGATAAGGTTTACCTTATCTGGATAAGGTAATTTCTTTATGTTATACTTCAGTTTTGTTATTTCAAGAAGACTGCTCAGAGCATTCTGCCTTTATCTTCCATCCTGATATGTCTGCAAGTTGCTTTATAGAGAATAAGTACCTGTTTCTTGGCTGTGTACAAAAGGAAGTTTTAGCATGCATTACTATTTATTTCCTTGTTTCTTTCCCTGTTTTAATCTAACCATTAAGAATATTTCAGTCAGTCTGTTTCCTTCTTATTAAGGACCTACTTTGTTTAAAGTGATACGTTTTCCTGAATAGTTTTTAGTTGAAGCTGGTTTTGGGGGTGGGAATTGTGTCCCAGTATTATCCATTAGGTTGTGGTTGTTTTGCCTTTGGGCATATCTGCAAACAATTATTTTTCTTTCAAGCCCAAGCTAAATTACCATACTTTTCTGGGAAACAAAGCCAAAGCCCACTGGTAAGTCATGGTTCTTCATGTAAGCATAACGAAACTTAGCACTTGCCTTCCTTCTCTTTTTTTTGGAAATCTGCTTCTGCAAAATGCTCAGTATCTGTGGCTCCTACAGAAACCATGCAGCCCCTAAGTGATAGTACATATGGTATTCAAGGGTCTTTGCTTGTTAGTTGTATGAGAACAGGATTGCAGCTCATGGAATCTTTTCTTGACTTCACTACCAAGTTGCTCTGCAACTTGCAGCAAATATTTCACAATCATGCATAAATTTGCCTTTGTAAAAAGCCAATAAAGCCATTGAACACCAGATAACAACCAGATAATGCAAGACCCTTTCAGGCAGAGGCCCTGCTGGCAAAGCTGGGCAGTCTCCCTGCTGCAGGCACCACCAGCACAGGTCACAGCTCTGTGGCTTTCCTGGCTGGTGCTCCTGCCTCCCAGGGCACCCGCTCCAGCTGCTGTGGGAAAGCGCTGAGCTGGGAAGCGCTGGGCTACTGGAGACGGCGCTTCTGCTCCCAAGCACAACCTTGCAGTCTCCTTGAGACAGCTGGTGTGCAGGCAAGTGCAGTGGAAAGGGCAGTTTCCCTGCAGCTTTTTTATTTTTTTCTCCTTTCTTTTAATGGGTCAGTTTTAAAGCAACAGGAGAAGTTGGAGACTTTTAAAAAACTTACTACTTACGTCTTCTCAATAGCTGAGAGCAGAAAGAGATTTGGGGTGATTTTCTCAACTGAATTTTGTTTTCACTTGCATGGCAGTAGTAACCTTTCGCTTGTGAGTAAAGGAGTGTCCGAGCACGCTGTCAGGGACGGCACATCCGCTGCTGCAACATCTCGGCTTTGCTCTGCTCACTCCAGGCATTTTGGCAGTTCCCTACAGTGCGTACCTGCACTGCTTTCAAATCTGTAGGAATCTTGAGAGAGATAATAACTTTTTTAACTAAGCAATATAGTTTCTTCATTTTGGAATTGCATCTATAACTGTGATGACTAAAACAGGAGAGTAAATTCAGAACTGCCACAGAGAAGATATACTTGCAGGATATACTTGCTCATGAAAGTCTGGTGAGTAGTAAGGCCTAATTTAAACTTATTTTAGGGCAAAGTTTGCCTAATGAAGGTGAAGAGTCCTGGGTGGTGTCAGGAAGTAGTAGATTTTGTCATGGTTGTTTTGGTCTGGGCGCAGTTGGCAAGCGGCAGCCGTTCTCCAGCGTGGCCTGCGGCACAAGCCCTAATCCCTGGCCGAGGCATGTCCACGCAGAGTGCAGTAGTGTCAAGTATCTCTCTGTCCTGGCAGGGTTATTTAGATGAAGTGTTGCAGCCCATATTTGATAATGCCTAAAGCCAAATTACAACCACGCTGCTTGAGTGTAGTAAATCAGGACATGGTTAAGTTTGCTCTCATCTTGTGTTTTCTTACAGTATTTGATCACTAATACAGATATTAAGGTTTCAGCCTTGCAGAATTCATATCCTGTGGAAGTTTTAGCTGATTTGACTACTGAGAATACAGGGAGACAAAAAGGTTAAACAATGTGCTCAAGGTCATCCAGAAACTGTGGTAATTAATTCCAGATTTCTCCATACAGACTTCAACCACATGGCCTTCCTTCCCCTGCGCTATTTGGGCTTTTAGGTTTTCAGGACATTGCCTTTTGCAACTGACAGATCTGTCTGGCAGTGTGTAATTCGAATGTGTCCAGTGCCCTGTGATAATCAGAAGTTTCAGCCAGGCACATGGCAGCAGGATGGTTCTGCTTCTCCTCCTTACCAAGGTCTGACTGGTGCCTTGTACTATACAGCTTGTATAGGCAGGGATTCCTTCAACCTTTTTCTTTCCCAGCTGCACACAAGGAAGGTAAGTGTAAGAACAGCAAGATCACTTTTAGCTCATATTCTCTCTCCTAAATCAAGGTAACTTTCTTGTGCCATATCCTTTCTACTCCATTGCTTACAGTTATCAAGTTATCTGACCAAAGTTATTTTTAGTGTCTATGAAAAAAGAGAACCAAGAAGAGTAAGATTGTTTCCTTCTCAGATAGATCTTACAGCTCCCATGCACTGCATGATTTTTGCAAGCCAGTCACAAAGAAAAAATTAAGGAAAAATATGCTTTTTCAGCTTCAGATTTTTGTAAGATGTGTCTGTATTGAGAAATCCTCAAGAGGAGGCACATCTCGCATTTGGACGAAAACGCTTTGCAGCACAGGAACCGTCCATGTTTGTAAATCACAGAATCACTGAATGCTTAAATATTACAAAGAGGGCTCTAAAGGCCTTTCCCACTGCTCCTTGCAAGTTACTCACAATGTCAACATAGTTATCCTGCTTCAGGCCAGAAGGGGATGCTTCAGGTTTAATCATGGATTAAGCATAAAGCTGAAGTTTCCAGATTCTGCCATTTGCAGATTGGATACATCCTGAGCCAGAGACCATTTCTGAGTATTTAGTGATCATCAAGATAACTTAGCCTAAATGTATCTAATATTTCCATGAAAAGTTTTAGTATCCATAGTGCCTTGTGACAAGGAGCTCCACAGTTTCACAGTGTTCAGTCGGACAGAAGCGTCCAGACTTCTAGTACCATATCTAACACTGGCCCCTTGCTGTACTACTCCTTGGAGATAAGAATAATAACCATCTTTATGTGGAATACCATTTTCAGCGCTGCATTCATGCTTAGTGTGTAGACCTATTGCCTTTGGAATTACTAAGAAATTATTGTCCTGGTTCTGAATTAGAAAATTTCTTATAAATGTTCATATTCTTACTTTTTCAAAATAATTTAGATGAGTATGAAGTTTATGCACACTCACTGCTCTCTTTAGTGAAACTTACAAATACACCTGGGATATGAAAGACTAAACACAAAAAGAAAGAGCTTGTCTGCAATATTCCTGAAAATTATGCAACGATTAAAAAGACAGCATCAAATCAGCAAAGGAAACACCACTAGATTCAGACTTCCAGATAAGTGAGTTAGTCTTTGATTTCCACCTCTGTGGATCCCTAGGAGATTGAAACTGCTATGTTTCCTGCCTTTTGAGGCAGGAATATTTACCTTTTCTACCTTCTATTCAGTCACAATAATGATATCGCTCATAGGAGCACATAGGAAATATAATTATACTTCATCCTTATTCACAGTTGTGACTGATCAGGATTATTTAGCTGATGCCTACAAGCAGCAGCTGCTGCTGACTTAGTTTGTAAACTTTTCATTGCCTAGAGAACATTAGAAAATACGGTATCATGTCAGATATTAAATTTTCTTCTTCTGTTGTTTTTTTTTAAAAAATAGATGGAATAGAGTTTTAAAATTTTACTAGAATGAGTAGGATACTGAATCTGTCTTTGAAAATCTTAATGACAACTTTATCTCACCATATTCTCTCCCATATGCACTTGTTCATCCTTCTTTTTTTCCTCCCTGAATATTTTTCCTTTCTCCATTTTTTAAACTTTCTTCTCTTTCTTCTGTCCCCTTGCACACCTATTTCTAAGTTAATATTTTAAAACAAAACACTGAAATGCTTGCTATATTTTCCCTTGGGAATTACTTGTGTAAGCCATTTCTAGGGAATTTAATTATTTTCTTTAACACTATGACTTTTCCCGATTTGCAGATCTGATAAAAATCCTCACCAGCACCACATCCTAACAACAACAACAACAACAAAGAAACTGAGCTAAGATTTGATAAGTAGAAAAGATGCTGGGCAAAGAGAGCAATTCACTGGATGGTGGCTATGGATGGGTTGTGGTTGTGTCAGCATTTGTGGTAATGGGCCTCACTGCTGCTGTCCTCAAGACTTTTGGTCTGTTCTTTGTTGAAATTCAGCAGCACTTTGATGGACTTGCAAGCATGACTTCCTGGATCACATCAATAACGATCGCCATCTTTCATTTAGGAGGTTGGTAAAACTGTTATTCTAGCACTTATTTTAAAATCTTAACTACTCAAGACATTTCAAAGAGCTTCCATTAAAAACAAAAACAAAAAAACCTACAAAATCAGAACATGCAAGAACAATTTTTTGCCTTCTCTACAAAAAATGGTATTTGCATCCTTTCATAAAGATGTACCTATGCCTCAGACATGAAATGGATTAATGATGAATCTTTGCATATTCATAGAAATCTGATTGCCTTAAAAAAAATTATGTACCTAGGTTGATTCAATTTTCCTGCAGGCTGTGAATGAACCTCAGTGGGAATAATCCTATGAACTTCAGAACTTGTTGGATCAAGCACATGAAGCAGTTTGTCCAAGCTCGCTGATTTCACAGTGACTAATACCTTTTCCAATGCATATAAAACATGAGAGATGTGGCCCTGCCTGTCACATAACTACTACTGCCAAAATGGTGGTTCTCAGTCCTGCTTTCCCCTCATTTCTCATTTTTGACCTCACCAAGACCCCTCTCCTACTGCCCATTGCCTGTTCTGGCACACTCTATGAACCATTTGAAGTCATTAATCTAACAGAGGGATAAGTTATAGAAGAATTCTGTTCACCTAGAGATAGTATAAAGAAGGCAAGACCATACAAGGAGAGAGTAAGGGAAGAAAGAGTGAACTATCTCAGTCCGTGAACTGTTTGATCAGCTAAACTACCAAAATAACGAGGGAAAACTATCAAATGTGCAATATGCATTCTTTGACTTTTCACTTAGCGGTTCTTTTCAGAGTCCTTTACACCCTTGTAAATAAGATCATCCTTCACCATTACGGTGATGACTCCAAATGTTCAGGCAGGAGCCACGCTGAATTTGTGATGATCTCTGCATGTTCTCAGTTATTACTTATGTAATAAATACTATTATAATTCTAGTTGTGAAGAAACTTCATTGCACAGATAATACATAATTACAGGTATCCTACTCAGTTCACACCTGTCAGGATTATTGTTTGTAATTACAGTACTTATAAAGATCATGGACAACAGATACTCCCTTGAAAAGCATATTCAGAAAAACAAAATCATAATACAAAACATAAAACAAATATTAAGCTCACAAAATTCTTCCAGTTCCAAAAGCTGCTATTTCTGTTGCTCAATTTGCAGTATTTCAGCTTTATTACAAAAACAGTTAAGGCCTGTTTTCCCACCTTCTTCATGGACTACAGAAATGAATAAAGAGGAATCTATCACGAATTAGGCCTAACACTGATCTGTAGTGGCACTAGTTTTGTCATTCACACATATGAACTTGATCAGAAAAAAAATGCCAGTGTAAGAGGACTCAACCCAAAAGCTCAACCCTCTGATTTTCTCTATTAAATATTAATTTTCATTACATAGGAATTCATTAAACATATAGCAGATAGAGTGAGACTATAAGCCAACAAAAATTATAGTTGCCTGAACAGAGTCTGAGATTTGTCCTACTTCAAAGGAAGCAGCTATAATTTTCATCAAAAAGGCAGTCATCTTCCATCCTTCAAGACTTTTTGAAAGTAATCTTATTTCTATAAGTACAGTCTGAAGCCCAAATATTCCATAACGTTTTCTTGTAGCAGCTCATGGTTCTCAAGTCACTAGGGAATTTTCATTATCTTCTCCTTCCTTTGCTTCATTTCTAGGGACTAGAAGACTTCTATCTGGGCCTCCAGTTCTCTGAGCATCTTTCCTGGCCTGGCTTAGCCATTCTTAGTATTTTCCTTTGGGAAATCTTCAGTGTCACTTGTCTCACTATGAAGTATGATCAGTGATTTATTCTTTTTCCCTATTTGGATCATTTGGATCAACAGTAGCCCCGATCTTTTGTGTGGAAGAACAGCACATGCTTCTAAATTTCAGGGTTGCATCTGCAGAAGGCAGTTCGGTTATCGTAGCAAGGATTTCCCCCATTGCATACATCTACCTCCTCTTCATACTAATGTGTATCTCCCACTACTTTTTACTTTTGCACAGTCATGGTTTTCCCCTCCTTATTTATTTATTTTTTATATTGTCCTTTGTTCTTTCAGTCTCTGACCTTAGCAGTCTTCACCACTCCCTGTTCTGGGGATGGCTTCTCTTTCTTCTTTTACCTTCTTTTACCGCATGTTTAATTTCCACCTATCTCTGCTCCTCATTCTCTACCACAAAATCTTTCTCTGTAGTAATATTTCTGCTGAACTTCAGGTCTTTCTCCTATAAATAAGCACTTCTGTGGTTCTTCTTTATTATTCCAGAGTCTACTTATCCCCTTTTTTGTTCATCATATATGTATGACTCCAAGCCTGTGCACGTTCACTACATCTTCCAGACCATGAACAAATCCCAGTATCATTTTTTCATGTTTATCAAAACATGGTATTTCTACTTTAAATGCTGATGGAACATTTGGGGTTTGTATAGTTTCTATCAGGTATCTACCATACATTCTGCAGCTTCAGCACTAGTTAATACCTATCTGCTAGGCTTATTTCACTTGTCAGTTATCAATTTGCCTTCTTTCTTTTCTTAACACAGGCAAATACATAACAGCCTGCCCCTACAAACTCATAAAAAAACTCCTTTGCTGACTGCCTTCTGCTCATTGTTTCTTATTTCTGTTTAGAGCAATATTTTTTATGAATTCTCAGGAATTTTCAGTGTGTCCCTGATCTCCAGTTTCCAGATTCTCTATCATCTCTATGACACTGACTGCCTAAGGATTGATGGTGTGCTGTGTTACCTGGGATCCCTCTAGTGGCTATTGCTGTTTCACAGAGATGTATACCTAATGGTTTCAAACTGTCTCCACAGGGCATGACTTTTGACAACAGGTTTAGTTCTGATCTTGTCTCTTTGATGCTAATGGAAGAATAGCGAGGGAGTAAAACTGATCCTTAATTAAGCAAAAATATTGTTAATCATTTCTAGTGCTTCCAAACAATGTCTAGAGACTGGTTCTTTGTGATTTTGAGGGGAGGAATTTCTGCATCAAGTTATAAGAGTGTCTGAGAAAAAAAACTCCATCTGTAGCTCATGCAACTTTTCTCTCTTGTGTGTTGAAGTGTTCCTTACAATCTGGTGAGGGAAACAGTAACAATGAAATACAAATTTAAGAAATGAATTGTAGAATTCCTGGAAAAAAAAAACCTCTGCAGATTAACTCTGTTTTTTTTTGTTTTTTAGAAAGTATTTGCAAACCCATGATCAGGCAAACTCTAGAAATTAAGAGGAGGATGAGTTTTATCCATATAACTTTCATGCCAGACATACCAGTGATGTACTGACAATAATAAAAGTTTTATGGATTAACCTAGATAGTCTATGGCTGAATAGAGCTGTTCTGGAGACAAGATAATGACATGCTATTCTCTTAAAAAGGCCATTTCACATATTCAGAATATGTTTTAGAAAGGTCTTTCTTCTCTCTGCTCTCAGGATAGTTACTTTCCTATCAGCAAACATCCAATTTTAGTACCACGTTCTCCTCCTTTTCCAGCAGAATTGTGACATTCTCTCTCACACGCATATCACATATTTGCAGAACAAAACACTGTATTTCAGGTGGGCATTATTCAGCTAATTATTGAAGTGCTTTTTTTGATTGTATAGTCATGCTAATCAGATCCATATTCTTAATGTAATGTTATCTTACTCTTATTTTGTTGTTGATCTAGCCCCCGTAGCCAGCTCACTATGTGTGAAATACACTCACCGGGCAGTTGTGATCACTGGAGGAGTCCTTGCTTTTTCAGGAATGGCACTGGGATTTCTTGGACTCAACATGGTTTGGATGTATGCAACAACCGGCTTCCTGCAGGGTATGGCTTTATGGCTCTAGAGGCCTTTTTCAACGACAAATCAGAGCCCTTATTACATGGTGCAGATGTAGGAGTTTTAAAATTTGATTCTTATTGTGATTTTTATAACGAACTAGAACCAATAACAAATTTAAATGCTGTTTTCCTCATGTCCTGCTTTGAAAGCAGGAATTTGTCCTAGAAAGCTGCAGTCAAAAAGTATGATAATAATTAGTTGCCAATAATTTTCAGCTGGAAATTATTTGCAACCAAAAAATTAAACGCATTTTATTTATTTATTTATTTATTTTATGGAGTGGAAAGTTCTGCAAAGGTATAAGGAACCTAAAGGCTGCTAAAGAAAAGAATATAGAGCTCCCAAATTGTGTATTTTGCATCAAATAGTCCTACATTTTTGATCATAGACCCAGGCCTTCTTTCCAATCATTTGCTTTACTCCAGGTTAAATTAGGGCAGAAAGCTGTCTTAAACAACTAGCAGATATTCCTGGAACAGGAAGAAAAGCTGGCAGGAAATAAAGTAAATCATTCCCAGATCCATGCTGGATGCATGAGAAAATGTCTGAAATTAGAGCCTTTTGGCCGTTCTGGGCCTGCCAGAATGGCTTCTTGGAAGCCATTAAAATTTGAGAAATTTTCTCTTAAGAAAGAGCAGATTCGTAGACAACAAGATCTATTCAGAAAAGGAAGAGCATAACGATGCAACACGTTAGTATCCCTCATATTTGCTTCCATTTTCTAACCCTGAGCACAGCTCAACTTATCCCAGAGATCTCCTCTCTGTCCTTAACTGGGCAGAGAGTCCTCAAAAGGACTCCTGTTAAGCTCAGGACAGAATTAACACTCTGAGGTCCTTTCTTTGTTTTAACCACATGAAAATATATTTTCCACCTAGTGGCAAATTTGTTAAGCCAACTATTTTTTCCACAATTAGAATGCAATACTGTAATGTATTCATAAATGTATAAATAGTAATAATAATAATAATAATTAAATAAATGTAATCACGCTCGTGTTTTGCTACTTAAGCATCAACTTATTTGCATAGAATATGTGCCACAAATAAACTTTAACAAGTTGTATAGCTGAACTGATGCTTCTGCTAGAAACCAAACTCTTTTTATTTTTGCAATTTTTAACTTTGCAAATAAGGAATATTTACTGTTTTAATTGTAACCTTCATGCAACATCCCAGTGGTGTCTGACTGGTGCTCTTTGTACTGGTGTTTTTCAGGACTTGGTATCTCGTTTTCATGGATACCAGCCATTAGCATTGTTAGCCATTACTTCTCCAGGAAAAGGGCTTTGGCCAACGCTATTGCCAGTGCTGGGGAATGTGCCTTCGCCTTCACCTTTGGGCCATTTTTCCAGTGGTTGATCGGTCAATATGGATGGAAAGGTGCCCTCTTGATCATAGGTGGCCTCCAACTCAACATCTGTGTCTGTGGGGCACTGATGCGACCACTGAAAAGCAGCTGCCTCCCTGACACGAGCTGTCCTGACGCAGAGACACCGCCTGGCACGTGGGCATCTGGGAGAAACAACGTCAAGTCTCTCGTCACACACAAGATCTTCAACTGGATGCTTCTGAGGAGGCTGGAGTTTGTCCTTTATGCCCTTTTTGGCATCTTAGCTGCTATGAGTTTTTTTATTCCTCCACTGTTTTTAGTTCCGCTTAGCTACAGCCTGGGAATCGATGAGTCTTGGACTGCTTCCCTCCTCTCCGTTTTGGCCTTGGTGGATTTTGCAGGCAGGCTGCTGTGTGGCTGGTATGCCAATCTGCACCTAACCAGAACCGTTCACCTGCTGGCGATGACCATTGCCCTCATCAGCACCTCCTTGATGCTGCTGCCGCTGGCAAACAACTACCTGTCCCTGGCAATATTCACTGGCTTCTACGGCTTCTTCTTCGGCACCACAGTGGCCATCCACATCACGGTGCTGGCAGACGTCGTGGGCATGTCAGATTTCGACAGCGCACTAGGGCTCTTCATGCTCATTCGAAGCACTGGAGGGTTCCTGGGGCCTCCCCTTGCTGGTAAGACGTAAACTCCTTGGTGTAGTTTATGAGTAGAAAGTAAATCCATACTGAGAAACCTGGACTTGAGACCAAATTTTGCCCTGTTAGCTCAGAGGCACCTCAGAGGCCCAGAAATATATTAAAAAAAAGAGCACTCAGAGAGCATCCAACCTGCATCAAGGCTGAAATGGCCATGAAGGTTTCTGCAGAGCATCATGGCCAATGGCCTACAGGAACCTCGAGGAAATAACTAGAGAGAGGCCTGCCCGTTCCAGACCAATATAATAAATTTGAGCCAACCAACATAATAAATCAGGGAGGGCAGGGTAAAAAGCAGTGGGACAAGAGAGCAGACAAAAAGTTCATCTGGGAAAAACGCAAGAAAACAAACTACCAACTGGAGGGACTTTACAGTGTGATACAGCAGGGAAAAGACCACTGTAACTTGTATGAAGTGAAACTGGGTCCTCGAAGAAAGGCCAGTGGCTGTAATAAGGGCCTGCTCACAGAGTGCAGTGACTTCTTGGTGATGGTGCTGCTTACTAGGCTGCAAATGTGTCAGTCTGAGTATTTTCATTCACTTCTGAATAGATAGGAAATGGAAAGATTTTTGGAGAATTAAAGAGAGAACGGTGTCAAAAGTAAGATGGGAAGGTCTGAATAAAATACAATTATAATAAGATTTGTATGTGTAGTGTCTGGTCACTAGCACTGATTGTCTGGGGATCTGTACAACCCCTTGGTGTATATATAATAAGCTAAAAAGAATTATCTAGGAAAACTGAAAAGATTTATGTCGCGGGAGGAGGCGGGGGCTTACTATTAAATGGTGAGGTTATGAAAGAGGAGGAAATCCTAAGGACTTTTCCTGCCTTTCAGCTTTACTTTAAAAGCAGAACCTAAAGGATTTGGTTTCAGAGCTTCTTTGCCTAAGGCCTGATGTTAGATTGGAATAAGGGCTAGAGAATGGACCAAGTCTGGACCACATTTTCAACGGCAGGAAACCAGCCAAGCAGCCTTTATTAGCCCAGAAATGAATCTGCAGACGTACCCATGGAGCAGCCCATACCACTGTGCTAGGGCTACAGTATTATTATTTTTTTTTTCAATATGGTGCATCATAAAAAGCTACCTGGAAATCAGTTTTTTTTCTCATTAACTTCTGTGATTTTGTGAGAAACGATTAACAGGAAAGCAAGAAGCACAGGAGTGAAGTTTTCAATCTCTGTCTCCCCAGTAGAGGGCCTCTCCTCTCTCTCTTTAAGCTCTCAGACACTGAAATTATGGTCCAATTCCAGCAACTGAGAACAGCTGCTCTGCAGAACACAGGATTGCTAAAATACATATATTTTTTGCCATTACCTTTATTATCTGTTGTATTTTGGGTGGGAAAATACTTCAGACTGTAGACCATTTTGTCTTACTAACAACCTTGCATTATGCAAAATAAATGAGAAGTGACTTTTTTTTAAATTTAGAATCGCTATATGGAGTGTTTGTTTCTGTGCAGGTCTGATTGTGGACATGGCTGGAGATTACAGAGCAGGCTTCTACATGGCAGGAGCCATTCTTATCCTATCTGCTGTATTCTTAGTTATTTTAGATCAATTGCAACAGAGACAAGAAAAAGAAAACCAGACTAACACTAAATCAGAAAAAAATCCATGTTGCCCTACCCTTTGCTACAGAACAGGAGATACCAAGAGCATGATGTAGTGGAGTGACTCCATGGCACATCTTGCAACATCTCAGGAGTTGCTGGAGTGTTTTCTTTTCTCCGAACTCAGCATCATTAGGATCTGTTTAAACTGATGGATGTATTGTGTAGGAATGTGTGAAACTCAGGAAAAATGTCATTAGTTTACAAGTAAGCAACACCGGTAACCATTGCCTTATTATCTTGACACTGACGTTGCGTTTTGACCATGCAGGTCTCCAGCACAGCCCCGTGAGGCTGACATAAGGCAAAGTCGGTCTCAAAGAAGCTGCCATGAGGTTTGTACCCAGCAGACCGAATCCCTCCCCTCAAATACAGACCCAGCTCTCACAGCCAGGCAGGGAAAGGTGCCAGCTGGATGTCCCACATGTTTAACCTGAGGCAAATACTGTTCAGTACTTTCGTTCAGCAAATTGTTTATGAAAGCGAAAGTGCATGAACGCAGCTGCCAGTTAAAAGGTTTGCAAATGATCAACCGGCAAGAGTTTGAATCCAAATGAACTTGATAAACTAAAGAAAAACATGAATAATTAAATTTAAAACAGACAAGTACAGCTTTAAGCACCAGGAGGAGTAAACAAACTACCCGCACATGAAAGAGGGAATGATTTATGAGTAAGGAGAACTAGAGAAATTAGGTCAACTAAATAACTAAGTGAGGTTGCAGCTTACTACAAACTAAGAAAGAACTCCAAATACCACACTATATTAGAAAAGGCAAATGTCTTCCTGTGCTGTAGTAGGATACAGGCAGTAGTAATGCTTGAGAGGCTTTAAACTGAAAAGGAACATAAACTGCAGAGAATTAAGGGGAACAAGAATCAGAAATGTTTAAAAGTGTATTGTGAAGATAAATGTCAAGACATTAGGTTTGTGTAAGTTCAGAATGCAGAGGGCTGTACAGGGCATGAAAACAGCCTTCAAATCTATAAAACACTGAGCTGAAGAGATAGGATCAATTCCTTTCTTCCTTAAGGCAATTAGTAATTGATAGAGTTTGTGTCAAGAAAGAGTTACATAATTGGAAGGAGCTTCCTCACTAATAAAGACAATGAAGCAGAGGTGTGGAAACCAACTGCTAAGAATAATATGAAATCCTAGAGATATTCGTAACAGATCATCAAAATATGCTCAATTCTGCTTCAGACTTGGGGGATGGACTGGGTGGTTTTGTGAGGTCCTCATCGGTCCTGCATTTCAATCATCCTAAGGACAATGTTTGCATATATTTGTAATGTTTGCATATATTTGTAATTTTGGGAGAATGTTTGATTTATGATATTATAAAGAAGCCTGTATATATCCAAGTCATGTGTTTCTTTTTGTAATTTTATTTCATCTGTAATGAAGAGAAGGTAAAAAAGGGTAGAAGGATTGGATCTATTTAAACTCAATAATAAAAAAACAACCTAGCATTTAAAAGCTTTAAACCTATTGCAAAAAATGGTAACTGCTAGTTACGAACTTCAGCAATTTCTGTCATTTAAACATTTTATCCATAAAGCCAAGTTTAACATGAATCATTCATACAAAATAATAAGTTTTTTAGGAAACTTCAGTTCTTACGGGAGGGTTAAAAATACCTCCGCTTGTTCTTCCTGGGTGTGAAAACTACCTTGTGCCTTGACCTCTACCATGAGAAGAGCAAATGGAAGGTCAATGATACAAAGCAGGAAAAGAAAAAGATAAGTCTTTCTCTACAAGAAGCTTGAAAATATTTTACTACTTTACTCTTTTTCATATAAACTGTTCCTTGAAAATGCAACACAGGCCCTAAAACCTATATTCCTTCTCAAGAATCACTGCAGAATTTAGCTGCATGAAGTTGCTGAGGGTTTCGTGACTGATTCTCATTTGAGAAAAATAATATTCCAGGTCTTGCCCAATCCCTCGTAGCAGCTCAAACCCACACTGCTTGGGCCGGGCCTCACTTCTACTGTACTTGTATCTCACCATGAAGGACAGTGAGTTAGAACCACCAAAGGTGCTATGGGTCACCATGTTTCTCAAGCATATGCCACATCACATGATAAGTCTAAAGTCATATCACTTATGCTGAAGCCTATGAAGCTAAACCCATGAGCATAAGATACCGCTAAGATCATCTGATCTGAGCTCATACACAATGTTGGCCAATGGGCGCTGGTCATTAGGAAGGCAGGTGACCCTGCTGCTTGGAGTCCATTTCTCAGCCCTAGAAATCTGCAGGAATATGAAATGCTACTGCTCTCTGCTACTGAGAAAAGGAGCTGGTTTATTTCTGTAGCAGGTCATGTAACAAAAATGTCAGAATTGCCAGCATGGTCTAAGCCATTCTCATGTCATTGCACTGGATCTACTGTCTGATCCCTTGTTGCATGCAGAGTACCTGGATTGAAACATTCACAAGTGTCATCAAAGAAACTTAAGTTCTTCGTCACTTCTACTTGTTTTCGTTAACCACTTGGCATCATGTCTGTTTTACTGATTTAAGGATCAACAAACCTTCTCCACGCACTAGGATCTACCAGACTTGTCACACATGAATTTACATGAAAGAAGTCAACAGAAATATGAACTTCACTTCACAAATATGAACTTTGCTTGTCATCAATGCTACTTGAAGTACAAGAAATTATCTTTACACCTAGGAAAATGCTTCCTGACTGACAGGGTGTTTGAACACTGGACCAGGACGCACTGAGAGGCTATGGAGCCTGACTGGTCATGGTCCTGGGCAACCAGGTGTTGCTGAGCAAGGACTGGACTGCAGGACCTCCAAAGGGGACTGCAAACCTCAGCTACTCTGTGGATACAGTACAGGTGCTGCCTCCTTCTCCGCTCCTCCAGTGCTTCGGTCCAGTAGCTAAACAGGAATCTGTTTTAACTTTTGGTCACTATCATCGGCTCCAGAGTAGTGAACTCTAGTCCTGCTGCTCGTCCTTCTTCCACACCCTTTGCAGGAAACAGCAGGGACTTGCCACTGGGGCTCGCTCTGCCCGGTTTATTTGCAAAGCAAGATGTCCCCTGCCCTGGAAAACACAAAAAGCTGCTTGGTCATCCTGGGTTCAGCCAGCCACTAAGAGTGAGCAGCAGCAGCACAATCCCCCCTCCTTTGATAGGGCACATTCCTCCACAGAGATCCTGCATGATGCTGAGCTTTGGTTTTACAGGGTTGAGCAAGGAATGCACAGCCTAGCTACAGGACTGATTTCATTTCTGTGGAGAGATCACAGACCAAGTCAGTTGTAGGTTGTACGTCCTGTGTGGTGGGAAGAGGAGAAGGAAAGGCTTGGCAGTCTGCTATAGCTCTAATGGAAAACTAGCCTACAGCATGCAATAGCATTAAGTGATGTGAGGTGAAGAAATGGGAGAACTTCTGTAACAGTGGAAACTTTGGATAACTGACTTCCCAAGGCAGCCTCTACAGCCCACAGCCAGGCCTGGTCTGGCCGGGTGGTACCACAGCATGGGGCAGACTGCATAGCAAACACTGTGCCCCAAGGCCTCCTCTCCTCCTGGCAGAGGAGCAGGAGGAAGTAGCAAGAGTTTCGCAACCCACTCTCCACTCAGGGCTATCCTTGTTCAAAATTCACTTTCATCAGCTGCTTTCAGCAGTTCACGGGGAAGGAAAAGGGACTTGAATCTATACCAGAGTCCTCGCTACTCTGCAGGGCCTTGAGGACCAGCCTGTGCAAGAGATGGCCACAGACAATGGGCTGGCACCTGCAGCCCGGAGACGCTCGTGCAGGGAGAGGCCTGCTCTGCAGAGACCTTCGAGTGATGGGGGGCAGCAGGAGTCCTCTGCCCCTCACCTTGCTCCTGCACTGGTGCTGGCAGGGCCTCAGTAGGTGTCTCATAAGATGCCACAGACCACGGAGGTGCTGTTAAGGGATCACACTGGAGGCCTGTGAGGCTCCAGCTGGCTCCACTGTGGTGCTCAGCAGGTCTGTAGCAGCACTAGGCCCACATGAATGTCAGAGTTTGGAAACAGGGCCCTGCAGAGAGGCTGCAGGAGCAACTCCTGCAGTGTTTCAAGGAAAAAAATCTAGAAACAGGACATAAAGAAGAGTAGGCAGCAGCTGGCAGGAAAAGCAGGGGAAGGAGGAAACAGTTGGGTGCCGAGACAGGACTAACCACTGGTGGACCACTACAGAGCTCTTGTCCAAGTACCCAAGACAGAACGGTGGGATAAGGCCCATGTGGCAGGAAAGGTGACCACTCCTGCAGTGTTTCAAGGAAAAAAATCTAGAAACAGGACATAAAGAAGAGTTATTCTGAGAGCCACAAAGTGAGGGGGAGGTAGGGCCCAATTCGCTGGCCTTGTCCCCATCTCTCGAGCTCCTGTTTTAGCCGCTGCTGCCCCAGCCCCCAGCGAGGCTGTGTCCTCCCTATCTGGGCAGAGCACCTCCCTGAAGAGCAGCAAGGCACCAGCCTCCCTCTCTCGTTCCTCCTCCCAGTGCCCTCGAGGGGACCTGGCCGATAACCCAGACGGTTCCTCCCTTCCCTCAAGATCCACATAGTGGCCGTTGACGTCTACTATGGAACATATCCCGTGGCAGTAGCGACCTCAGAAGAAGGGTCAGCAGTTAAATGTGTATCTATACTGAAAGCAGGCAAGCTTAGAGATAACAACAATAACAACAAAAAGGGGCCTGCAGTTCAGGTGGCAGCAATTTGCAGGGCGGCTTCCTTTCAAAAATACTACAAGCACCATTTAATGTTCTCGCGCAGCCCTGGACGCCACATGATATTTAATTCAAAGTAAACCCACAAACCATGTTTAATGGAGAGCTGAGTATTCTCAGCACCAACTAGTATAATCCTCTTATCCACTCTTACTATACTGGGTTATTTGTTAACGTAGATGCAGCACTGAAAAGCCCAGTTTCCACTGAAATTCCTGTCAAACACACACTAAAACCTTTACAAAACCAGGAATCAAAGCTACTTATGTTTCTTTATCTGCTCTAGTGAACTTCAAATGCTATAGAAAAACAAAGACTATCAAGGCACATAAATAAATAAAAGTCATAGAAACTCATACTATAAATCAGTGGAACAGAAATAATCACCATTCTGTTTAAGAGAAGAACTAAATATATTCTTTTCATATCTATTGTCAGGCCTCATCAGACCATCAGTCCAGCTTGCCAGAGGCCATTGGTTATCAAAGGAGGTCTTGACTGCACTGGTCTCTACCTTTCCAATCCTCTTCTCATTTTGAAATGCTACTCACTCAACACGGCTGAACTGCCAACAAAGGTCATCTCTTTGAAATGATAACACCTGTTGAACATGCAGTTAAATTCCAGTGACTTTACATCAATAGAGTTAGCAGCACGCTCAGAGAGAAACAGGTTTAGTAAAAGATAGCAGGGATCAGAACCACAACACGGTGTCTCACCTCACTCATCATATATCCAACTTCTCAGTAGCAGCATTATGTGTTTACATACCACAGACCTATGACAAAGTTGTTGTCTTTCTTCCACCTCCCTATACTATGATGAGAGTCCTTCAGAAGATAGATAAACTATTCAGTCAGTTGACATTTCCCCTAAACCCGCAAGGCCTGGGGCAAAAAGGGCAGAGATGTACGGATTTTGTCATAACATGGATTTTCTCTATATTTCAGCTTTGACTTCAACAAGAACAAAGAGTACTCTTCATTCAGCATCTTCTCTCAGATGTGAAGTTTTTATTGAAGAAAACACATGATTTGTTAAGGAATTATATGACATTTTCAAAGCACTGCACAAGGGCTGGCAATTTTCTATGGGCATTTACTGGACAGCAATAGCATATCTTACTGCTTTGCACACATGGGGATCTACAGAAACTTTGCTGCTTCTTTCACATTTTAACCTCCTATTAAGTTCATCTAGGATAATGCAAAAGGAGCACTGAACCATTTGGCCAGATGAGCAATTTTATGCATTTTTCCTCCTCCCTTTACTTCCCCTTATGCTTTGCTTTGAAAATTGATGGTTCTAGCAAACAAAGACAATGAGATTCTCCTGGTGTTTATGCCACCTAAGGCATAAACACAAGGATTTTCAACATCATTAAGCAAAAGGACGTGCTTTTTCACGTCCTTTGATGACTGAGGAACAGTCTTTCCTCTCCTAGCACTGCACTCACCCCAGAGAGCTGTGTTACAATTTCCTTTTGATTTCCAAGGAGATAAGTCCCTCACGATCTCTCATGCTGTGTGATCTCTCCTGTCCGCTTTTGAATATACCAGCCATTCTGTACAACATTTAGAGACAAGTTTAAGGCCTCAGAGATAATGGATAATAAAGCTCCTTCAAGCTTAAAAAGAAAAAAAAGACTGGGATGGAGTAGAGAAGGGCCCACATTAATGGAGAAATGGGAAGCTGCTCCTTCAGCACAATTTAGGTGCACAGAGCAAGCCATGCTCACCCACGTTAAGACACTTCTATTACTGTGTAATAGCAGCCAGGTTAGAGTTTTGCTCCAACTCTGCTCGTTTCCACATGCTCTTACATAGTGTAACATATGTCGGTAATCAAAACTTGATTTAAACCCATACGAAAATTCTGACCATCCTCTGCCACAAAATAACCAGTCCTAAATCAAAACAAATTCTAATTTAGTACTTGCCTGCCCCTTCTAGCAGCTTGTATTGATTAGTTAGATAGGGCACATTTTTGAGCTGCTCAGTAGGAAGGAAGGATGTGGACTCTAAGTGAAAAGTTGTCTTCTTGCTTCTTTCATGCTCATTAAAGCAGTCAGAAGTTGCACTGAAAGGAATTTAAACTCGTGATAGTCATAAGAGAACAGATCAAAGAGGGAGAAAAAAAAAAACCAACAAATCAAGCCAAGGAGAAGAAAGCTGTACATGCCTTTAGCTAGCAGACAGAGTACAGGTCTGAAGGAGGTAAGATTTGTATTTTTTTATTCTATCCAAACTTTTCTGTATTGCTTCATAATTACGCTTCTGAAGAGGCTTGACCTGTTGATAGTGAGTTCAAAAATGTTTTCTTTCCTTGGCCTGAATTTTCTTGAGTAGTTTCGTTGTTCTTTAACGGTACAAGGTGGGTAGGTTAGTTGGATACTATCAAAGAGGATCTGTTATTATGCTATTTAAACGAGAGAAAGATTGTTAGTTGTATGTTTTTCCATCACTATAGCTAATCAATTCGATTTTTAGCTATTCGGACTGATTTTAATCAGATGTGTCATTCTCCAAATACTGGAAACTCAAATTACAGTATAAATTCCCTACCGGTAGAGCATCTAAATACAGATTGTCAACAAATATAAATTTTGGTTCAGCCCTGGCAGTGTATGCTGACTGAGAAATTGGCCTTTGAGTGCTTACAATGAATAGAAACAATGAATTGTAAGGATAATATTAGTTTTTCTTTTGAGTATTTTTCCAGTCCAGACAAATTGCATCATTTCTATATTAACAAGGGATTTAGTTCAGAAATCTGCCATCATTTAATACCTAAAGCAAGCACTCCGAGTTCTCCAAGTTACATTCAGGTGCAAGTATCTTGATGTTACTGGAACTATTCGAAGATAAACCCCAGCTATGGTTTGAGTTCTTAGTTTGAGACAGTTGCATACATATATGTCTGATTCTGAAGGTCATATTGCATCAGGACCCCAAAGTGTGTCTGTCAAAACAAAAATGTTGATACTAAGTCATGCCTTAGAGGTAACATATTGTTCACTTTGCTGAGAGTCTATATTTCTATCCTGCAGGTTTCAACAAGACCAAGCTCACAAAATGCCCAGAAAATATCACCAGTCAGATGGCAACTATTTCAGAGTGAAAGGCCACAGCTATTTTGCAGCAGAAGAGTAAGCATAAAGCAAATCCTAAATTAGCATATAATCCGGTGAAAATTTTTACATTGAAATTTACCAAATAGGATTAATTACTCAAAAACAAAACAAAACAAAACAAAAAAGACTGTAACTGTGGAAGGCAGAGGAGTAATATTCAGCTGTTTTGTAGCTGTCTGCAACGTCTGTTGTTTCAGTATCTTAAAGAGCATTCAATGGTTGAAAAAAAAAATTGGAATGGCATAAACTCCAAATCTAAATTGCAATTCATTAACCTTTATAATAGATTTACTAGGCTTATTGACGCTTATTTCAAAATATTCTTTTGACGATGTTGTAAGGGGATCTTTACAATAGATTTTATCTCCAGATTCATATACATGCTTTCAGAAACTCAAAGGGATATTATCTCATTCAAAGGAATAATGTGAGTGAAAACCCCAGGGAAATAGTAAAAATACTGTTAGAAGCTGATGAAGATATCGATGTCTTACAAAAGTGACTCTCAGTAAATTGTTCCTGGGAGGAACTCCTGCTAAGGAGAAATTCAAGCTAAGACTTTGCTAGCTCATGGGGAGCTGGGTCCTGGAGTGCTGGTGAGGTGCTACTACATTAGACATGTTTTTCCAAAATGCTTGGGGTATCTGGAGTGGAATGTGTTTTTGGTAGGGGTTTACCAGTGCCCAATCTTGGTGACTTGTGCTGCACATAGCCCGTGAGACATTTTTTTTCCATGCTCATCCATTGGCACAAAGACAAAACAAAGGTGAAAGCTCTTTAATGGTATTCCCAAATAATTTCAGTTCTCCGAGCCATAAAGGTGACCGGTCACATCTCAGCATTCTGAACTAAGCACAATCATCTCAAATTGCTGTGACTCCCAATGCTCAAATCAAAGTGCCTATGCAGTTTTTCTGGAGATAGTAGGGGACAGTCACTGTCTCATTCCAGGACTGCAAGGAACATTCAAGACATTACTAAATAAAACTTTCCAATATCATAGCTGCAACTTTGACTGAAACTGCTAGGATCTGCAATTGCACTTTCCTACTTACTGATATAGCTTCTAGAGAGGTAGATAGGCAGTTAGACAGCAGATATGCAGTAAAATTACCAGCTTCAGAAATGAGAAATTCTGTGCTTCCAGGGGAATACGGACTATTACCAAAGCACTGGAACCTTAGAGAGAACAAAAGCCTGAAAGGGGGGACACGGTCTCATAAGCAGAAATGGAAGCAGCTGCCTGGGGAAGGAGGCAGCCCTTTGGTTTCAGAGCGATGTATACTCCACAGACTGCCCTTCTGGGCTTGGCTTCCTGGAGACAGTGACACAGCCAGCGGAGCCACCTCTTACCTTCCAAGGTCATCAACTGCACCTGGGCAGGAAGGGAGCTGTTTTCTTGGACAGGTTACCAGATCTCCACCCAATACAAATTACCCTTTTGCACGTGCACAAGTGACTGGCAGGATTCAGCTGTGTGTGATAAAACAAACCCCTCTGGCTCTAAGAAAGAGGCTTCCTGCTTTACATTGAACCCGGGCAGCTGACATGCAGAGACAACCTTCTCTGCCACATGGATCTCCCTGTGCTCACGCTTCTCAGGTCACGGGCACACAAGGAGGAGACAAATCTGAATCAGCAAAAACGATAAGAAATAGATACAATTATTCTCTAAAAAGTCACAGTTCATTTCTCAATCCCAATGGAAATGCTTGGTAGTAATTACTGTGAGCAACTGGATGCAAGTGAGTTATGGTAAGATACATAAACCAGTGTTAAGATGGGTTTATCCCACTCATGTTGCCACCTTTTCTTCTGCCCTCTTTTCCCTTGAGATGATTCCCAGACTTTGCAAGCAGCCATTGTTTTAGTCTCTCCTTTTTTGATGGTTACTTATCATCCTTAATAAGGGGTGAAAAACAATAGAACAGGCTAAGAACAGAAAAACGGGGAGCTGTTTTCTGTAACTCTTAACAGAGAGAACATTGGAGTGGGAAGAAGATATTTTTGACCAGGAACTTGCAGTAATGTTGCTTTCTGATAAACAGCAACAGTGCCATTCCTGAGCTGCTTGTTAGCAGTGGGAAAGATACCTAACAACACGTTCTGCTAAGCCTGCGTTCCCACAGTGACACCAATACGATGCCTAGCACGTCCCAGAGCAAGAAACGGAGTATTACAGAACACCTTGTGAATAATCTTTTAATCACTTACTTTCATTCTTCTTGCTACTGCACGGATATATCTAGTTCTGTTGTTAATTATTTTGCTTTGCTTTCACCACAGAGCTCTTGGAATTGGAATTTTCATTGTGGTGCTGGCAATTTTACTTATCTTTGGCTGCTGGTACTACAAAAGACGCAGCGGCTACAAAAGTCTGCGGGTAAGCATGGCAGCTCCCTTCCTCTCGCATTACTTTCCCAGCAATATTATAATTATCAGCATTACACTAATTCACAGAACATCCAATCCGTAATAGGGCACTCTGGTCTCTGGCAGTCCATACACAGACATATACAGAGGTATGGAAATGCACAATATGAAACAAGCCTGGCCTGGAAAAATTTGCAAGCTAGGCAAAAGGGTGAGAAGGGTTAAGTGATCACCCAACTTCACAAAACACATTAGTGAAAAAAAACACGTATCTATGAACACTATATTTTTGATTTACATAATACCCGAAATGTTCTGTGAATTTCTGCTTGAAAAAATGGCATACTCACTGTTTGTAACATTTATCTGTATATAAGGAGAGATATGAAGAAATTGAATTACAAAGACAAAAGTAAAAAGTAACTGCTATAAGTAAACTAAGTAAATATGTTCATATATGGGTGATGCATAATCTATTTGTGTGAAAGCTGACTTGCAGTTTTGGCTACTTGGTAGCAGTTTTAAGATTTACAAAAGAAGCAGGACACTTTTGAGTTTTCTTTCTTAAAAATATATATATATTTTGCTCTTTTCAAAGATACTAAAAATTTGAAATTTCTGGCCCACTCTAAAAAATTTGTTGTTGAAGTCTCAAAGCTTTATGTTCTGAGTTCAGTTCTCTCTCCTGAAAAAGCAAGGCAGTTTCAAATCCTTTAGAATAATTTATGATAAAATGTTTTAGTTAGTTAATTGTGCTAGAAAAATATAATCCTTTTGAATTTAGAAATTTCTATCATCTAAGCCAGCAGCTCCATTTCTTACTCCAACTTTGTCCCATTACTTCTACAGACACATATCCAATATATTCCCATACTGGCAGAATACATAAAAACTGATCTTTTATTGTTAAATTTTGGAAAACTTTTTTTTAATTGATTCATTAAAAATAGGATTTATGAACCTGAATTCTTCTATGCCTTCTTTGCACATCATAGAAAAACTGTACAATCTACTTCCAAGTCTCTTATCCTGCCTAAGGCTGTTAGATAGAGATGACACAGAATGTCAATAAAAGAAATAGTGAAAAAGAAAAAAAAAATTGAGAGTAAAAAATATTTTCATTGAGAATCTGAAAAAAAGAAATGTGGTAACAGAGAGGGGGATAGATTCAGATGGTGGAGAAGGTGTTTGTTCCTGCAACAATCCTGGATATAGAAAAGTGTGATCCTCATTTTTGCTAGTGATATAGCTGGATTTTGTTAGAGAAACAAATAGAGGACAGAGGGAACGCATTAGCAGGGACAGCAAAAAGTGATGTGCAGGCAACCTCTTCACTAGCTAGCGCTGTGTCTGGTGCTAGCACCACTGTTGTAACGGATCCTGTGAAGCTGCTGCCAAATGCTGAAGCTGGTTTTTGCTCCAGCGTGAGTTCTCCTGTCTCCTCACCATCCCTGCGTTTCCTCACACTCTGCCGCAGAGCAAAACCCCCAGCGTGGGCACAGTGCGAACCGAGGTGGGAGAGGGAGCAGCCCTGGACTGCAAGATGCCCCTGCGGGAGTACAGAGACCTCAGCCCTGCGGTAAGCTGCAACCCCAGGTCTCGTTTATGTACCACATGGCAAGACACAGCCACAGCTTTGGTGCACAACTGATGGCTTCTTTCTTTCTTCCTTGGATTGTGCTCTGTGGAGTAGGTCCTCACAGTCCCTATATTAACAGTTAAAAAGGGAGAATTCTGTGCAATTTTTACCACGAGAAAAACTACTCTTCAGAATCTTTGTTTTTTACAAAATCACCTTTCACCTACTCTTAAGCTATGTGATCATTACACAACCTACTAGTTGTGAAGTAACATAGCACCCACTTGCTAAAAGATACTTCATAAATATACATCCAATAGAAAGCTTTCAGATGTTATGCCATTATGGCAAACAACAAACAAGTTGTGTCTGGCACGCTCTAGATTGACAAAAACTGTCAGGGAATATCATAAAGCAAGAACCAAAATGCGCAGGTACTCATAGCTCAAATTACTACAGAAAGATTAATATTAGGGCTGATAATCTAAAGAAGTTAACCCAAACTAATTGATAAATAGACATGTCAAGGTATGGTTGTGTTTAAATAGTTTGAGAAAAGAGGATAGAGTAATTATGTTACAATTTATAAACAGTTTTAAGTGGGCTGCCAAAATTGTTAATATTAGCAGTCATCATATATGCATGATGAGTCTTAAATGCTTTAATAGAAATCTGAAACCTTAATATATCATAATTTCCTTTAAATATTATAATATAGAAAATTCTCTCTTTGGGTGGATATAAAAAAATCAATTTAATATGATGCAAAACCAGAAATGTACTAAATTCCACATCAATAAAGACATAAAAAACAGCTGTTATTTTAAGCTATAATTGTACATCTCAATGCAAGTGAATATAGTTGTATCTTCACCATCATTTCCTTTTACCTCAATGTTTTTCACATTTTCATCTTGATTTTCCTTACAATAGGTACCTGATGCTCCACCAGCATATGACAAAATTGCAGCAGAAAATTCGCCACCACCTTATTCACCATGATAATAAGAAAACTCAAGCTCTGTGCCTACGAATTCATTTTCTTCACACTTCGTCTGTGTTTCTTGTACATGCTAAGCTTTCTTTACAGCTAAAAGAGTAATATAAGTCACATGCTTTCGTTAGCAATTGCTGAAAATTATTCCCACTTAGTTCACAGAACTAGATCTTGAAACATTTCAATATAGCTGAATGTGCTTTTGTTTTAAAATTTTCATTTCCTATAGTGATATTAAAACAGCATGTTCAAGCCTGGTATCTTGTGTCTTTCGTAAATCTACCAAGAGCATGTACATTACACTGAGTATCAGCAAAAGTGTCAACAAAAGTAGAAAGTGTTGGAATTGCCACTTTTTTCCATCTTCTACATTTATTTTCTCTTTGTTTAAAAACGACATAAGTAAACTATTCCCTAAAAAATACTGTACAAAAATCCTTCACAAAATGGACAAAAACAGTTGACAAAATATCCTGTCAAAAAACCCTAACATTCTCCTTGCCAGCCGTTCTAAAAATGAGCCTGTGCTACGAGGCTACGACACGTACTTATTTCATGTCGTTTTTTTGCGTATGTGCAATGAAACAATCCCTCATGAAACATAACACGATGCAGGCAACATATGAACTTCTGCTTGATGTCGACATTATTTCATACCTGTCAGTGGGTACAACTACTGCCACCTTTAATTTTGTCCTGGCACTCTTATGAGAAAGCAAGAGGGCCCATTATATACCAAGCTTTAAGTGTCATTTGTTTATAAACAATATGAGAAAATGTGTAAAGCTCATGCTCCCTGAAGAACAGAGAAGAAGCAAACTCCAACATTTTCAGTTCTCCAGCTTGCTACAACACCAGCAGTAACAGAAAATAAAGAATTGTAATACATACAAATTAAGCTACATATATATAGCATTATTGTCTGCATAGCTTTTACTTAATTGCTAGATTACTACTTAACACATACGGATCAACAAATTTATACACAAGACGATATTTCAAGCAGGAAT